CCGGGGGTGAAAAAAAACCGACCGGTTTTTTTTCTACCCACGGGCGGGGTCAAATAAAAGCCAAATGCTCTCTAAATCCCGTTCGGGGGTAAAAAGAAGCCCGGGGGTAGAAAAAAACCTTCCCGGGGGTCAAAAAAAACCCAGCCCCATGCTCTGTAGACACAATGTGTCAACCTGTGCGCGCTGCACCCTCCACAGTCAGAGCTGCGGCTCCTGTGGATGCAGTCTAACTGACAGTTTCACATCCCATTAGCTAGCTGCTGCCATGAGCAGCCGCGACCATAAGTGTCGTGTAACTAGTTCGCGAGTAGGTCAGACCAGACCATTGCGATTAAAAGTCAAAAGCTGAGCTTCCGTCACGTGCAGTGCAGGATGTTCGGGTCAGCGTTCACGCGTGACTATGTCTAAGATGAGGTGCATCTTCAGGCGCTCTCAACTGATTCTGTTTTGTGAGTGGGGTTCTATGGCCATATGACCGCGGAGCTTGCCAGGTTCTTGCTTTAGTCTCGGGCTTATGTGCGCTTGACAACACGGGGGGAAAAGTCGGGTCACGAGCTTTCCTTGATACCTGTTCTCCTTGTATTGGGTGTGCCAAGCTTGAGCGCCGGCCAGCTTGAGAGCGCAAATTGGATGAATGTGCACCATGCTGTGGGATGTTTATCCCACCTACGCAAATGCCTTTGACCGACTATGCAAGCACCTGCGACGCAAAAAGAAGTGTGCGCGAATGTCCCGAGTTGATTGATTCGATTGCCTATGAATAGTTATCTTTGTTTTTAAGATGCACTCCCGGAATATTGCTGCCTCATACTCTTGAGTTGATTGATGCGGCCGTGTTATTTTTTTGATACAGAATCATCTTGATATGGATGATTATCTGGGCCACTTGCTTCAATTTTTTGTTAATTGAGCTTCTGAGATATTCCCCTTGATTTTCTATATGTGAAGTTTCCTGGGATGATGTGAGAGACGTTCTTCGTCAGCTTGCTGATCGTTCTGCTTATCCACATCATGTGTAGCAACTGCGCGACGGACCCAGTGAAATTCACGGAAAAAGTTACCTTTGCAAAAACCATAAAAGAAGGGGGTTTTGCTTTGGGTTGTGTTGATAGGCGCATTGTTGAATCTTTCCTTCGCACATTTTTCACACCTTTGATCAAATTTTTGTCACTGCGTTTACCAACATGTATCTTTGGTGGTTGCGAGCATGCGTGAGTGCACTTTGAAGCCTTTGAGCTGAACAAAAATTTGTTTGACCCACCCTCCCAACCCTGGGGAGAAGTCGGGTCAAGAGCTTTCCTTGATTCTTGATCTCCAAACATCGAGTGTACCAAGCTTGAGCACTGGCCAGCTTGAGAGCGCAAATTGGATGAATGTGCACCATGCTGTGGGATGTTTATCCCACCTACGCAAATGCCTTTGACCGACTATGCAAGCACCTGCGACGCAAAAAGAAGTGTGCGCGAATGTCCCGAGTTGATTGATTCGATTGCCTATGAATAGTTATCTTTGTTTTTAAAATGCACTCCCGGAATATTGTTGCCTCATACTCTTGAGTTGATTGATGCGGCCGTGTTATTTTTTTGATACAGAATCATCTTGATATGGATGATTATCTGGGCCACTTGCTTCAATTTTTGTTAATTGAGCTTCTGAGATATTCCCCTTGATTTTCTATATGTGAAGTTTCCTGGGATGATGTGAGAGACAGGAACTTAACAGGTTGAAAGAGAGAAGTGGTGACAACAACCGTTAAGCGGTTACGCTGGCTAAGCCTGAAACGTACCGCAGTGCTGCGAAAGAGATGTTGCATCGCTCGATGGAAGCGCGTGAAAATGTTGAAGCTCTAGTTCAGAACACGTTGGAATGCTTCAAGAGCTTGCAGCCCACAAAGGAAGCTCGAATGCTGAAGCTTTTCGAGAAGGTGCAGTTTTATTCGAAATGCATGGACGACCTCCTGCGTCCCACCTCAAGTGAGAAAGTGATCCTAGAAGTCTTGTCTGAGGAACATGTAAGCCCTGAGGATGAACGTGCGAAAATCGAGGATCATTTTTTCCTCGAACAGCCCAGAATACTGCAACTTACAGTGGGCTCTGTGCAACCTGGACCTTTTGCTAGACGAATTATCTTGGCATCCTAAATAGAGCGAAGCCCACACATTTAGCGACATCCCTAGCAGAATGGAGCACGTTTTTTTCTAGGCCCCTCGACGTCCTCGAAACTTGCCCGAAATTGTGGCGAGAGCAACACCCTTGCACCAAACGCTGGAGTAGAAAACCACGCGGCGGGATGTTTCCGAAGGACTGGTTTAGTTCGTGATACGTTGGCATGTGTCAGACGAGCCATTTGTCATCAGACGCGAACTATTTGTGCAGCGACTTCACCAGTGTAATTAACAAATTAAGAATTGTCGCAACAGAAGCAGTGTGGCATATCTGTTGTAGGTGATTGTTTACTCGAACAGAAACACCAGCATTTGAACATTACTTGTATGTAACCTTCGCGCTCATGGCTTGCCGTGTGGATGTTCCAGGCATTGATCCGGAAACAGTGGTAATCAAAGTTGAAGCATTTGCTTGTCATTTTGTAGCCTTGAATTTTTATACTTGCGTGATATCAGAAGACAAATGCGGTATTTATTTTACCAATCTTTTCAGCGTTGTCCCTTCATCACCTGTTTTGCTGACAGGCTGTTGGTCAGCCTCAGTGGCGCTCGCACTTCGCCAGCGGCCCGTTGAGAGTCCGTCGTGCCCTGAGAAGTATTTGTTGTGTGTTGTTAGGTTACTCGTCAACATGAGGGTTGTGATGCTGCGGCTATTCTGCGGCTCAAAGGACGCAGTAGCTCGACAAACAAAGGCACAAGTTTGGGACATCAGGTCACTGAGCCATGACTGAGGCCGAGGGAGTGATCCGCAACGAGTCTGGGTACATTACCCACACGGGCAAAAAGGATTTTGGGCCCCTCGAATTCACTGGCAAGATAGGTGGCGGGCTGAGGTTAGACTTGCGTCGGCGGCTGCCGTTGTACGTCAGCGACTGGACGGATGCTTTCAAGGCCGAAAACTTCCAGAAGTCCGTGTCGTCCATTTTGTACTTGTTCATCGCCGCTTTGGCGCCTGCCATCACTTTCGGGAGTAGGTTCTTGGATGGCACCAACGGCCAGTTTGGAGTGCTTGAGATGATTATTAGTACATCTATTTCAGGCGTGCTCTTCTCCACCTTTGCCGGGCAGCCGTTGTCCATTTTGGGAGCCACAGGCCTCTTCTTGGCTTACACGCTGGTGGTCTACGATTTGTCTGTTGGGGCGGACCTTGAATTTAAGGCTTCGAGGGGGTTTGGGTAGGGACCTCATCCAGGCAAAGAATTTGTGAATTAGTAGATGCGAACACTTACGGCCCGCTTCCAAAAAGTATTAGGAGCGCAATACGGCCCTCTTCGGAGGAACTATCATGGCACACAAGCATCAGACGACACGCTGTAGCAGCACCCTCAACAATGGAATCCAACTTGGCTGTGATCACGTGGCAACTGCATCTGCTGGAAATCCTCTTCTGGTCCACTGCAAGCTTGGGTTTATCCAGGATCACAATCCGTGGTGATGTGTGGATTCAAAGTCCTTTGTGATGCTTGGAATGTAG